CCCCCCCCCCCCCCCCCCCATATCGATGCTCCTCTCCTTGTCTGGCAGGCCATAACTTTCCTCTGACCTTTGAGTTTGTCAGCCACAATTTATACTCAATGTAAATCGCGACCTTTAACCTGCCTCATTTATATTTAAGTGCCAGACTGTGATCGCACTCATTCATCAGCCGGCTTCACCTAAACTCGAGCGGGAAGGTAGACTTTACCTAGCCATGCTTCTTTCCTAGCTAAACTTTCCTGCTTACTGCGTATTACTCTGCAGTTTAAATCGTTATTTGGTTACATTATCTGTAGGATATAATCCTCACGCTCAGCGCCGTTTAATTAATCACAACCTCGGCTTTACTCTCTCATTGTTAAAGGCAATTACAGGGTCAGGCCCCCCAGGAGTGAATAATTCCAGACTACAACATAAAATGATCCCACACAGAATCACGAGCAATGTGTGGCTCCAGAGAAGACAATATGATAGGCGATTCCAGACCCTATTTAAGGGGGTTTCAGCCACCCAGTTTAATCTCTCAGCCCCCCTGAAAAAGTATTTTAATATATCCATTTAACAATTTGTCCTGTATTTTCGTGCACATTTCATACAAATTTTTGTAGTTGGAGACCCACCCCCCCCCCATCAGCACCACCCCCGCTCAGCTAATTTTTATCATGGTGGCCCCAGGAACATGGCATCCCATATTTCTTCAGATTGAAAGTTGCAGCCCTACTGGGGGCTGACCTCCCCTAAGAATAAATTCCTGGAATCATCCTTGTAAATTTAGGTAATATTAACAGAAGACTTTCATAAAAGTGGCACTTTAGTATTTAAAATTTTGTCTTTATTTTCTGTAACTACCAGCCATATGTACACAATTCATAGCGGCCTGATCTGAATGCATTAAGTAGGTGGCTGTGCTTCTGTTCTGGACTGTTAAGAAAATTACCCAATATCTTCGAGGTCTTTGTTGGTCACATCAGTTTTTTGACAGTTCTCCTACAGCCAGTAGTTATAATTGCAAGGTTTGGTGTGTTAACAGATACTTTCATTAAGCACTAGATTCAGCACAATGTTTGGAGTTCATCCAATAAATAACATGAGGAAATTCAACAGCAAATATCATTGACCTTCGCTAAAACCTGAAATTGCCGATATTTTAATCTCATTATCTTTTGTCATCAGATGCATTTAACATATTTCTTTTGCTTACAATTAACTTCACTCAGGTTACTTATTGGAATATTTTTGATCAACTTGACGTTTTTTGCCATTTTTCAATACGTAATTTAATACAGCTGAAATTCAGGAACACAGTCTTTGTGTTTTGAAAGAAAGTTTAACTGAACTCAAAGTTATTGTGCTCTCAGTCAAAAAAATCTATGGCTACCCTTGTCCAGGTTTGCTTTATCCAGCTACTCTTCGACAGCCTGTGTGCTGACATTATACATTAATGAAAGTTAGCTAACATTTGTTAGATCTACTCATACCAGGGATCATAAGTTTCTGATCTGTAGGGTGTTCGAGGGCCAAAGCAAACCGGATAGAAAGTTCCGGTGAGCAATCGCTGCTGTCCCCCCCTGAGCCAGAGATGGATGTACAGCAACAGAGAAATTAATTATTTGGGGTGCAATTAATGAATGTCATCACAGACAGTCTTTTATCAGCTCTTCCTTTCTTATGGAATAATTTACAGTTGCGCCTGGCTTCCCTTGGCAGTCCTCTCGCAGTCTTGACCTCTAGAAGTCGCGCTGGAAGAGAATGCATGAGAACACGTGCTTTGCTGTTAATCAGACAGTAATTCATTTTCCCTACATCTTTGGTCCATCTGAATTATAATCCTGACCCAATAACATCTATGGCAGATTTATTATTTTTTTCCTTTTATTATTTTTGTGCTAATTTTTCATTTAAAAAATTCAGTGTGAATTTTAAGCCGGTTTTTTTTTGTTGTTGTTTTTATTTTATTTTGGCGAATGAGGGTGTTTGGAATGATGAAAAGAGTGTCTCC